GAGCATTGAACCAGATGCATCTAGAGTGATGTGTCCCCTGTTCATTACCCACCCTGGCATCCACCATTATTGGTTTAGAGATGCCAGAGGAAACATTACAATCTGACTATGTTATCTGCCTCTACCACTTCCTGTGGCAGTGAGTTTCACAAGTTAACTATGTGATGCATAAAAAAGTACTCTCTCTTATTAGTTTTAAGCCTGACTCCTTCATATTTCAGTGGGTACTTCATTGAGACCTTGCTTTACTAATAAAACCCACATGGTACAGAAAATATAGACAACTTAAAATTACATATGCAGTTTTCTGGCTGAGGAGAGAGAGAATGAAAGAAAAAAAACATTTGATGAATGCTAGTCACATTGCATAAATGCACTGCTCAAAAGTTCACATATTTTTGGTGATAGATGCAACATAAGATCACGAATAGGCTAGAAATAGACTCAAGTCCCCTTCCTTTACACCTGAATTTTTGCACCCTTCCTTCTCCAGAAATCAACACAGGTGTCTCCAGAGCTTCTTTACAATCTTGCTTTGACTGTCTCTTTCTGCAACCCACTCTATATTCATTAACCTTTTTATGAAGTCGTTTTTACCAAGTTCCCTATCGACCCTTAAAATGCTGATCTCAGTCTAAGCAGAAAGCCTGTAAATTTCACTTTATTGCCTGCAGTAGAACAAGGGGCAAACGGTCATAGCACATAAAAGCATTATGGGCAAATATAAGTTGCTTAAGAACTAAATCACAAGTGGTATTTAAAATGTTTCACCTACAACCATTGGTCATCGAGACTTGTGTTTATGAACCACAAAATATGTTCTATGCAAAAATCATTTAAAGTACTTGACACAATATAATTAGGAAAAAATAATGCAGACAGAGGAGAAAATAGCAGTTTGGCTACAATCCTGACCCAATGACTTGTCTTTAAGCCCACAAAAGCAACAAGACTCCAAATAAGCCAACTTTTTCATAATTTAGTAGTTAAATAATGAAGAAGATAAAGGCTTCTATTTTTTGTTTGTGTTATGATTTTTAGCTGATATTTTAAAAACAAAAACTTAAATTACCAAACCAGTTAAAATGCTCCAAAGTATAAAGAGGCTTATTTCCAAGCTGAACCAAGAGAAAATGCATTTGTGATTGAAGTAATGGATGGGACACAAGGGAGTGAAGTTCAGTTCCTGACTGCTTCAATCTTCCTGTGAAAAACTGAGCAAATTACAGGAAAAAATGGTAACACCAGTTCCTTATCTCACAGTGGCAGTGTAAAAATAAATTCATTAGTACTGTGAGATACTGTGGCCCTAGGAGCTGTCTAAATACATAGAAAGACTGAGAACATTCTGCTTCTCATGCAAACCACCACATATCTGAAATAACTAAACTGAAACAACAGATGGATACTGAAGGCAGATTTACACTAGTGTAATGGAGTGGAATTTGGCCTGTTTTCTGCAATGCTTCATTTCAGGGCAAATTCTGAACAACTGAGTGAAATCTCAGTCTCCTTGAGCACATCCTTATGATGGAAAAGCAGCTGCTTTTACTTCAATGTAATAAGCAGCTTTTGTTCCTCTGACAACACCAATAACAAAATTCTTGGCCTTCCCTGTCACTAACCAGTTGCATCCAGGAATAAGAGCTAATCCATGTTACGTCTCAGCTCTGTATTCTTGGGGAACCCTGGTACAGGATGCAGTCTGTCTGACTCACAAAGAACTCACCCCCTCCCCTCCTCTACCTAAACGAAACTGATTAAGATGCAGTGAGAGACGCACCTAAGACCCTCACCAGATAAGGGTGACGAGTGAATCAACTGCCCTAGGTCTCATTTACATGAGAGATGGAAAAGAGAAAGCCTGAAGCAGAGGCTGCAGTGAATTCTGGGACCAGAGAAGCAGGAGAGCGCTGCATGATGGGGAATCTGTGCTTCCAATGTTAATCAACCCATGTTCACACAGACCCAGCTCAGCATTTATCAGGCCAGTTCTAATCCGGATTTGCTAAGGACTTCCCCCCCGCCAGACACACACACACAGCTCTAAGTTTAATAGGCATCTCGGGCCGTACATTCCCCGGTCCCACTATGGGAGGCCTATTTAAACTTGATTGACTAAAACTCGGTTGCCAGGTTAGGGAATGCTGAGGCAAGAGACCGAGTCAGAGGGGGTATGGGCAACATTTGAACAATGGTTAAGGGTTCATCACAGCATCCAGCCTGCTGGAGCCCTAATCCCAGGTGGTGTCATATCTTTCCCGAGACGACTGGTGGGAGTCCTCTCCACAAAAGGTTATGAGCACCCCAATAATTGTTTTAAGTCTGTTAAAAGACTATAGTAAGATCTGGAAAAGTCATGCTAAGCTGAGGCTTGTGCACAACAAGTAAAAATCCAAAATCCTGATGCTGCAAGCTATCTATTGTTCCTGAAGAAACCATGAGATATCCCATCAGTATATCTGCCACCCATAGGAATCTCAAGCTGGCTCCCAAGTATTTGGGTTACTCCCTAATCTTAAGTGTTTCCTGATTATCAATCAGTTTCCTGAGATGGTCCAAACCAGATAACCCCTTGTCAATAGAAAAGACAATGATTTACACTACTGAGGGTGCTTCGAAGCAGCTAAACTGAGGGTATAAAAATCTGTAAGTGTGTGTGCTGCTAGAGGGAGAAGAGGAAGAGGAAAAGGAAGGAAAAGAAGTAGAAGCAGGAGGAAAGAAGGAGAAGAAGAAAACCCCTGTGCTGACACCATCCCCTGTCGTTCTTGGGACGCTGGAAGAACAGATCATCTCTCTCTTCAAGGATTGTGCTACGGACTGTGCCTGTCAGCTTTGCAGCCTGAGTACCGTGGACTAGGTGAGATCCCAGCGTTCTCTGTCTTCTTTCTAGGCATAAACTTCTGAACCTGAACTGTATCAGTTAAGCTTGAGCTAAGTTTCCCCAAATACTTAGTGAAACCAGGGTAGTATTGTCATTGTTGGTGTTTGTTTTTCTTTTGCATGTCTATTACTACTAGTACTATTATATATTTCATATGCTTAGCAATAAATAACTTTTATAGTCAAACTGGTAGTAATTGGGTATATTTTTCCTTCTCTGCTTCTCTTTCCTCCCGTGCTCTGCAGCAACGCTTCTTTTACCTATGCTAAAGATCCCTGTGAAGCCCAAATTATTGTGGGGTCTGCTCATCAAGAGGCCAAAGATTGGGACGTGCTGAGTTTGAAACACATAAGGGGATCAGCTTGTACAGGCTGATTGACCCAGTTTGACTCAGACGTGCCCTTATGAACTGAATGCTGGCCCATGAGGGTGTCAGCTGGACACCCAGCCGGATTCAGAGGGATTCTGTTCACCTGTGTGCTTGTGTCTGACTGCATTTTATTGTTGCTCTTATGAACTGATTCTTGGCATATGAGGGTGTCAGCCTGTCCATGCTGATCAGCCCGGCCAGGTCAGGCGTGTCACGTTAATTTGTGTGTGTTTGTGTGTATGACTGATTTGGTGACTGGAGGAACCCAGCCCATTGAGATTGAGTCCTGCAAGATAGCTCCACTGGGGGTGAGGGCTTGCAGAAGGGAGAAATACAGCTCCGTATAGTAACACAAGCAGCACATTGACAGAATCACCAAGACCCTAGAAACTATCCCTAATAAATGAGCACACCCCAAAGTAATGGGCAAATTTGGTAACATCCAGAAACAAGGATCATCTGTACATGGCCTTCAGAGAAGAAAAATGATGAATAAATAATATTTCCTTTTGTCAAGAACATTGCAAATTCTGATCCTCCTGACAGCAATGGCAAAACCTGCCTCAAGAGTCTTTATTTGGGTCATTCAAAGAGATATAAAAGGAAGGAGGGGTGTTGACTTTAAAACAAAAGTGTACATTACAAACCACAGTTAAATGCTCAAGCTATATTTTTAAAAGGTAATACCCAGAGTGCATATTTGAAATATAGAATTGTTGCTGAATTTTCTGCCTGTTGCTTCCCAAGTAGGACATCCAAATAGTTCTCAGCAAGGGCTTCCTCCTATTTGTGAAAGTTTACTCATGCAATTTGTAACATACTATATTTACTCAATTCTAAAATGAGTTGTTCCCTCCATTTAACATAGGAAGGGAAAGCCTTTCATCTTAGAATCAAATCTGAGAGGGGGGGCAGGGAGGAGGCAGGGGAAGGTGGCTGCTATGGCTCAGGCTCCAGCCCCTACTTGGGGTCAGAGCCATAGCGGCAGATGCGGCCTGCCTCCCCCTCAACCCTGCGTCTGCACTCTGTCATCTCTCCCCTGCAGCCTCTTCCCCCCATCTCCCTCCCTCATGCAATTTCTGCTCCCCCACATGCCCCTCTCCCTCCTTCTTCCTCTGTGACTGCAGGCTCCGCCTACACTGTAGCCTGGGGTACTGAGCATGCCCTAGCCTGTCCAGTAGCAGCAGCACACAGCCTGCATGGCTGCTATGGGGATTAGGCTAGGGCTGTGCTTAGTGCCCCAGACTAGACTGGGGATGGAACCTGCTGGCGTGGAACAAGAGCAAGGGGGGTGGGGAAGGGAACCAGAAGATAGGGGAGGAGGAAGGAGAGGGGATCAGAGTCTAAGTGAGTAGGGGAAATGGGAAGAGCAGAGGCTGGTGGGGAGGGGCAGGAGAGGGAGCAGGGGCAAGGGGGCGTCCGAGGCTGCCGATGGGGTGGGAGGGGAGAAAGGCAGGAATACACAGTGGACAATATGCTTGGCCTCCCAACACCACCTGCCCCCCACTGCCTGTACAGAATCCATATATAATCTAATTATTGGGTGGGTGGTCTTAAATTCAGAGTCATCTTATAGTTGTGTAAATACAGTATCTGGTGAAAAGGTGTGTAAAAAAGGAATCAACAACATTTGGTTGAAGGGAACCCCCCCCCCCCCCCCCACACCCCACACCACCACCACAAAAGACCCCACACACACACACACTCACAAAGAGACATTTTGGAGACACTGTTAAGGATATTTACCTTCCAGTTGGTTTCAGTTTGCTTCATAAATGTCAGCCCATTACTCAAGTTTGCTTTCATTTCATTTATGTGTGCTATGGTATGGACAGACCATGCATCCATCTGATTGATAGCTAAAGCCTGATGGCAGGAAGAGAAAAGAAAAGGACAATGCTTATTAGAGCATTATAAATAAATACTTATTCCTGATAGCATAGAAACAGAAGGCTAAGTCTCATAGACAATGCAAGTGAAGGTGACACAAGGTCCAGCTCATTCTCAAGCACAAACCAGTGGACTCATTTCAATAGAAAAGGGAAAATATGTTAACTGAAAGAGTTCACTTGCTGGCTTCTATTGCACAATGAAAAAGCAGTATTTAAAAGAGGGCCTGAACCTGAGTCACTATATTCACTTTTGTTTTACAAATTCTCCTCAGGCTTTATTCATGGATGATTCCCTTGGCTTCAGAAAAATCAGGTTTTCACTCTGTATAGGATGCATGAATACATGAGCTGACCACCTGTTTTAACAGGACAAAAATAAAATGGTTTACTGTAGTTTATTAGTTTTCTTACAAGTACATACTTGGCTAGCTCCTGACTATCAGATAGCTGCATCTTTGCCATTTCTATAACTCCCACTAACCTCTGGATTTTTTTCAATGTTGCCTGCCAAAGGCTTAATGTAAGACATTTAATCTTTTTTGTTACTTTTAGCAATTTGATATCTAAGATCACTTGGTGGGGAAAAAAAAGAATCTATGAAAATACATTAGGGGTCATCTTTGTGGAAGACACAAGATATCCCAGAGGCTGAAGAAAGGAATACCAATTCTTTTTTCAAAAAAGGAAGAAAAAAAGAATTCAAGATCTGTCAGCCTAAATAGATGCCTAAGTACCACTTAAAAGCATGTTTATGAGTATCTGGCCTAAAACTGGCAGCATTTTAAAAAAAAGTAAAATGCATCAATTCTGGCTGAACTAAGTTTCTGGGTACTATACACAAATTACTACAGCTATGTTTCTTTCAAGGTCAGTTATTTTAAATATGCTTCCCACTTCCATGTGTTCAGAGAGAGCAGGGTCTGACAGTAAGGAGTGGGGGAAGGGGCTGCAGGGGGAAGAAGTTGGAAGGTGCAGGGGCTACCTGACCTCCAATATTTATTTTTCCTGCTATAGCAGTGGGAGAAGGAAAAATTCAAGACAAACCTCCAATAATTAGATTCTATACCTGGAAAAATTATAAGAAATGTATACTTTTTCCATATAAAGAATTTAATTCTGGGGGGGTCATCTTATATTTGAGTAAATACGGTATTTCTCAAATGAACATTTCCATATAAAATAGGATTACAAAGTTCAAAGGTTTTAGCACCAACAGCAGCCTGTTTACCTCATTGGCAAGCTTTTCAGCCTGATCAAACAAGTTAGTTTCCATCAGTCCAAAAGAGAACATCCCCTTCACATAGCTAAACAAAGGAAAATAAAAAACATTAGAAGGATGGCACTTGTCTTGTAAAACTCTAGATGTGTATGTGACACAAAATATTTAATTCATTGCAAATTGTAATACTCAACAACAGAAAGAGAAAGAACTCAGAGCTGATTTTTGTGTAAAAATTAGAAATCCACCAAAGAAAAAGAATTGGTCATTTCTCACTGTATACTTATTAGGAAAAAATGTGTTCTATGCACTCTGCTAATTACAACTTCACAGAGAACTCTTTATGATGCAAAGTACGATTTTAAAACAAACCACATATATGTGTTCAATGAAAAAAATGTATGCAATCTGTACAAGATTCTATACACATATTTCTACATGATTCAGTATATGTGGCATTATACTATTTTCCCAATTTAATTTTTCAGTGAAAAGAATCTACAGAGAAGGAAGAACACTTTAAGAATGGTACTTATTCCAAGGCAAAAAGGAAACATTAAGGGTGTATTTAAACAGCAAGATACCCACAAACTCTGAGCTCAAGGAGAAGCAAACCATTCTTCCCCCACTACATTGTTTAATCTAAGGTCTATCAAACCTGGGTTACTCATGTCCACACTGTGCTTACTTTCGCTTCAATACAGTATTAGGACTGATGGGAGCATATCCCAGGCTCTCTACAGAGTGGAGCCTTTCCAGGAATTGGTCTGCAGGACGACTTAACTTTTCTTAATATTTTTAAACTACAACAAGTCAGATGTAGATCAAATCCTATGGGCAAAAATCCTGACTAAAAGAACACAAGGACAATGAACAGGCTGCCTAGGAAAGTGGTGGAATCTCCTTTGCTGGATATTTTGAAGAGGAGGCTGGATATCTGGGATGGTTTAAGAGGAGCTTAACTTGCATCTGTGAACCATGAGTTCCATTCCAGCCCTAGGATTCTAGGATTTTTTGGTGGCCCTAAGGATAGATGTTATTTTAGCCTGCCCCTATATATAGCTGGCCTGCCCTGCAATGTGCTCAGTTTTCTGCATATGTAGTGAAGGTGAGAATCATAGATCATTTGGAGAGTAAGAGAGCCTTTTGGGCATGACGGAAACATGCAAGGGGGTTACTTCCCTGCCAAGGAAGCACTTCCATCATTTGATGACTGGCAAGGGCCTTTTTGTGAACCTTTGAATCCAGTCCCCTATGTTTGCAGGCAATTGATTTTCAAAGGATCCTCATGATCATCCACTCCATCTCCTCACACACCACAGCCACAAAAAAACCAAAACAAAATGACTATAATGTGCCAAATGTACATAGAGCAGAGAGAACAAAGAAGCTTGCAATGACTTGACCACTGCAGTGGCAAAGAATTTGTTAGGTTAGAACATGCTTAGATGGTAAGGATCACACCCTGTGATATAAGAACGGCAAAATATCCCACAGTCCTGGCCAATATGACCTGGGGGAACAATTCCTTCCTGACCCCAAATTTGGGGACTGATATGACACTGACTGCATGAGCAAGACTCTTTCGCCTGGTATCAAGACTTAGTTTTCATAAAACTAGCAAGAGCATATGAATACCACAGGCAAACTTCCAGCTCAAACTGTAAAGAACTGCAGATTGGCCTCAGACTAGAGTAGGGGTGTCCAACTTCTGAGTGGGCAAGTCACACTGCTCCTGGGCTGTATCAGCCTAGGGGTGGTGGCAAGAATGAAAGCAGCGGTAGGAGCACGTGATGGAGGGAGGTGGCAATAGCTGGGCAAGGGAAATGGCTCCCAGACCCATGGAGGGAAGCATGGGGAGTAAGAAGGTACGGGCAGTGGGAGCCTGTGGGCCATGAGTTAGCCACTTGCAGGCTACGTGCAGCCTGAAGGCTACTATTTGGACAACTGTGCTTTAGAGGAATGTGAAAAAATTATAGAAGCCAAATAAGGTGTTTTTGAGAGAAAAACATTCCTTTTAAAATCAGACAACATTCTGACCCTTTTTAAAATCAGCAGACTTGAAATCTAAGTGTACTGTGCACCTCCCACATGGAGATCAAACTTAATTTCAATAAAGTTATGGAGATAGTATCTTGAAATCTTCATATCATTTACACTGATTATCTTTATCCTATCATACAAGGCCTTCCATTCTACCCCTTCCTCCTGTCTTTTCCCGTTCTAGTTTATGAAGCTGTACTCAGACTACAAAGCGCCACCACACAGAAGATTTCACTACTTTCTCAGCAGTTGCAGAGTGGTGGTGATGGAGTGGGCACTCAGAAGGCCAAAGGCAAGACTTTGCTTCCAAACCTGTTTGGGCATAAAACTTACAAATGCTGCTATGCCACATGCAAGTCTGCACAGGTAGGTGAGTATTGCTGCACAGCATGAATCCTTGATCCTGGTGGACTTCTTAGCCAGTTTGCACTACCAGAAGTGCCTCATCTATGCAGTATTAGGGAGCACAGGGTGCTGCTACTGAGATTACTAGGAATACTTACTGGGAATACTAGGATTAGGATTAGTCACTAGGATTATTAAAATATGGCTGGGTTGGCTAGGCCCCAGCCCTGCATGATTTGGCTTCATGGTTTGCTAAATACAATATCTTTCAGTTTAAAGAAGCAACAAATGAGTGTAACTAGAGAGCCTTTAATCACTGTCAAGCAACTGATCAGACTGCCTATCAGAGGGGAAGCCTACAGGGGCTTATACATCCTATATATGATCAGGCAATTACATTTTTTATACTTCCCTTGTACACTGAACAACTATAAAAACCAACCAGATCCTAATGATTCCATATTAAAAATTGATCACTGGTTACTGCAGAGATACCCATGCAGGTATACCCTATTTCATTACTTTGGTATATGTACCAGTTAGTTATTCCAGCATTTTTGAACCACCCTGTTTTCCTAAAATATCCCACTCAACTCATCTTCCAGCTGTAATCTGCAAGGGCCTTGAAACTCCCTGCTCATTGTATTTTTGGCAGCCCAACCGAGCCCAGTCACCTTCTGGAAGGCAGAAGGAAGTGGGGGAACTTGGGCTAGAAACAGGCGTTACCAAATTAAGCAGAACAGGTATACCGCACTGCTGATCCATTTCACTGGGACAAGCAGATATTGCCCATTCTCTCACCTGTTGATACTGTGGGAAAATGAGTGATGTTCCCCACTTAGATGCACTCTGGAGATTCTTCAGGGTGTGTCCTCAGGGCACATTCTTTTACACACGGCAGTTCAGTTTACCTTATTCATATACATTTGGAAAGGCTACAATGATAATCAGCATACATATACAATTCCAAAACACACTGCTGACCAAAAATAACCAAAGCACAGACACACCAGATATAAGGAATCCAAAACAATAATTGAAGACAACTTATTACATACCTGCTCAGAGGAATATTAGGTAACCAGTGAGGATAAACACGGGCAACAGAGTCTCGCATTTGAATACTATGGCCCAGGTAAAAATAAGTGTCATGGGAAAATTTGAGCGCTAGCATGTCAGTTGGGTGGTCCTGTAGAATCTGCTCCCATACTGCACAAGCTTTGGGAAGTTGCCTAGTGATAGGAAACTATATTAATCATCAATATAGCCATCAAAATTAAAGTGCCTCCCTCTATTATTCCTTCCAAACTTGTGTTACTCTCTGGCAAGTAGGAAACCCAATGACAAATTATAGTTTACTACCTTGCAGGAATTTCCTAATTTTTAGATGCATGAGAACATCAGATATATTGTCTTCAACACATACCTTCTCAGAGCTGGTATTAGGGAAAATGGTGTCCTGGACAAACTTGCATTTGGGCACCCCTCCCAGCCCGCACTCCCCTCAACCCCCCTCCCCGCACGTCCCACTCCAAATCAGTGATACTGCTGAAGACAGAGGCAGGGAGGCAGATGCATGGGGTATAGTCCAGTGGGGAGGCAGAGTGGCATGGTGCACCAGGAAGGTGGGCGGCAGGCACTGCTGCTGCTGTGTGAGAGCAAAGTGAGTGGACTGGAGCACCCACTACCCTAACCCCTGGCTTCTCCTGAGCAACAGCTGGAGGTGGGGGGCAGGCTGGGCTCGGCACCACTCCTCTGCCTGGGACAGAGATCAGTCATGGCAGAGGAGTGGAGCAGGGGGAAAGCGCTACTGTGAGCATGGGCTGTTCACACAAGTGTGGCACCCCCTTGACTATAGCATTCTAGGTGGTCGCCCACCCTTAAGGTCAGCTCTGCATCGTCTTCTAGACTGGGGGTCAAGTACACAGGGCAGGGACAGATCCAGCCAACAAGAGCCATATCACCTGGCCCATGGAGCTCCTGGAGGGGACATGAATTTGGGGGTGAGGTGAGCAGAGGTGGGACCTGTCACTGAAATCCAGGCTACAGAGCCCAGGGGGCACCTTTCAGTGGCAGAGATACACACAAGTGACAGCTGTGCTAATCCCTACAGCTCCCTAAACTGACACAGCTTCTTATCCCGCTGCCATCATCTGTCACCTCATTGGCAAAGATGGGTTAAGTTCCAGCTTGCAAGGAGCCCTGTGGTGTGAACATGACTTGGGATGGGGGCGCAGTTTGACACCTCTGTTCTAGACAAGTACAAGCTTGTTTGCTATTAATGTACTACAAAGGAGGGAAAACTTGAATTATTGTTAAGCCCCTGCAAGTTGACACATGTAGGAAGACTTCAGTTTGCAGACAGCTGCAGTGGAATCAATGTAGCTCCCCATAAATGCAGGAGTTTTCCCATGTAATTCAGATTTGCAGGAGTCATGGACAACTGTATGATAGAGTATCGTATTTACTCAGTTCTAAGGCAAAGTGTGTGTCCCTTCCCCCCCCGATTCATCATAGGGTCAATAAACTCCTCATTGTAAAATCACCTATCACAACTGAGGGCTGTGAGAACAGGATATGCAGGGAGCCCAGCTGGGGCAGTGACAGCAGCAGCAGCAGCTCTGTTCCCTGCTTAGATTCCCTCCTCCATCTCCTCCCCTCCACCAGGGCAGGGAAGGATGAGTCTCCATTTTGCTGCTGCTGTGGTCTCCAGCCTACCCCATGCTGCAGGAAACAGCTGTGTTGGGAACCTGGCTCTGCATTGCACAGATTTCTCCTGTTGTGCCCTGCTCCCTTCCCCTCTCCCCATGAAAGGGGAGGGAGCAGGGGTAGGGTAGGATAAATCTGCGGTGCAGAGCTGGGCTCCCAGCAAATCTGCTCCTGCACCATGGGGCAGGACTGGCTCTAGGGCTCTACCTGTGCCTGAATCAGTGGGGAAAGCAGCAAGAACAGGAGGTAAATAGAACAGGGGGCAAGGGATGAAGGACAGGATGCCTGCTCCCCTGCCTCTGCTTTCCCCCACCCATTTCCCCACAACCTGCCCCCTCATTTCCGTTTTTCCCATTGCCTGCCCCCTGCTTCCCCATTTAAAACATGCACCCCACAGTGTGTGGGGAAAGGAGCATATTGTATGTGAGAAAATATGGCAATATCATTTGCTAGCTATATTAGAGTGGCACTGCTATCTAATCTGGAAGAAACATTTTACAGAATACTCAAATGGAATGAAAGACAAACAGCAAAATGCAAATACAAATGGTGATAATGTATATAGTTTGAATGGTAAAGGAAAACTGTTCCTTCCTTCTCACTGCCATTAAAACCAACCACTTACCCATGTGCAAATAAATCTACTGCAGACACATGTAGTTTCTCCCTTTCAGTCAATGACTGTGATTTTGAGAGAGCCACCATCTTCTTTACTGCACTGTCCAGCTCTTTATCTAACCGCACTGAAGTTCCAGTACCAACCAGATCCAAGCCGTTAGCAATCACGTGTCCCATTGCTGAAAGAAGTGACAGATACCAGCTTCAGACATGCATAATTGCAGGTAGCCTGGCAAGCACAATAAATGTGGGCTAAACTACTGATGTATTTTTCAGTGACGTCATACCAGCAAACAGTTGTGCCAAAAGCTGGTAAGGATCTGACAGAAAGCCCAAATCGCACACTAGCAGGACCCTGGAATTTTCTTTGCCAGTAAACTGGCTACTTTCAAATTCTCCTTCAACATCCCAACAACCCACCTCTGTTCCCAAATACCAACCTTAGTATTAGGAACAGTATTAGGTACCAGTGCTGTTTCAGCCTATCTAGAACTTTTGGAACCCATTTCCCCCGCTGTACTTTATAATGGCCTATGCACAAGAGAGACAATGGAATGCAGATCACAGACAGACCCAGAGGCACCATAAAATAAGAACTCAGAGGGGTCCCGATACCTGGGTGGCAGAAGGAGATGCAGAACATTGTACCTTGTCCCAAACACTACTAAGAGTTACATTAGTCTTCAAGAGAGTCACCACAGGGCATCATCTCAGTTATAATAAAGAAAAAGAGAAATCACAAGCAAAAAAGTTTGGATTAAGAGAGGAGATGCCCAGAGGTTCAAAATTGGAGAACTGTTCATTTTACTAGCTGTGATGTACATCACAGAGAAGCAACACATTTCTCTCAGACTGGTTCTGCTCACTGCTCAATATCCTCTGTGTAAGTTTGCCTTTCTATGAGTTTCCTCCCACAGGCTAGGCCTACGAAATTTGGCAGACGTAGAGCTGCAGCATGATGGTTACTATTTTGCTACAGATAAATAGTCAGTGAGGCTCCCTCTCTCCAGCTGTTTAACTCCTTTTATCATCCCCTTGTTATTAACAAGATATCACGTTCAAATATTGCTCAATGCAGCAAGGTCAGACTAGCCAGCACAAGATGTTTGGCATTCTATTCTGCATCTATAGTCTCTGCTATGAGCAAAATTCTTCTCAAAATGCATGCTAATTCAAGAATGGAACGGAAACCAGAGACTTTTTAATACCTTTGTCTTGTCTATGTACAGAAACGTCGCAAAAGACTGTGAAGAAGATATAAAACAAATGTTGATGACTTCAAATGCATTTTATAATGATTTTATCTTACTTAACCAACCAACCAAATAATCCTACAATAACCAACTTTCATTCACAGTCCTTTGTACTCATTGAAAGATACTCCACTATGCAGCCTGAGGATTAACATCTTCTTTACCATTAACTTCTTCCCTTACATACACAATCATGCATTACCGCCACCACTCTCATCTTTCAGCAGGTGTTTGTGTAGCACCATCTCCTTCTGATGGCTTAACCAGTGCAACCAAATTCCAAATCCAAATTATCTTTCTGTGTACCATCAAATTACTGACTTTTTGTTTTTACTGATACATTCCATAATCATTTTATTGGGCTAATTACTATTTCTCCTGCTAGCTATTGAAAAGAGAAGTAAAACAGAGACGAGAGACTATAAGGAAGAAAATGTACTGGGGAAGACAAAAAAGCTGTCCAGACCATAAATGTTATCCTAAACTAGCCCTTCTGTTGGGCAAAATCAGTTAGGCAGAAGGCAACATAAATTTGCACCTTATAGACCAACTAAATCAGAAATGTATAGTTTTCATAAGCAGAGGGCTTACTTCATAAGATATAGCAGAGATGAAGCAGAGATGTATAGCATAAGCTTTCGTAAGCAGATGGCTTACTCCATCAGATGAAACAATTCCAATTTGCAGGACTCAGGGGGCCTTAGTGTTGTCCTCTCACCTACCTTTGTTGTTACACATTAGCAGTAAACCTTTCTTTACAATACAAACAATACAATAATCAAAAGGTTATACTTACTAAAATTTGGATCTGCTGCATTTAACTTGGAGAGACATCCCTCAATGCCTCCTAGGCTCTGATCACTGGCCCATGTTGCATACTGCAATACAGAATGACACTGACTAGAAATTTAGTGGAACTGAGTTTCTTTTCATTGTCCTGAGCAAAATTAAAAAGTCAGTCACATAAATGGTAAAAGAGAACAGATTTTAAATTCAGAAATACTTATCAAACACATAATCAGAAAAACGCTGAGGAACTCTGGTTCTTAGAACTGTGGTTTAATCCTAACTCTTCTTTCAGTCTGGAATTTGGACATCAACTGCAACAATGTGATTCTTTGAATATCCACTTAATCCAAATGCTTCTGTCATACCTGAGTCAGTATGGCATCAAACATCTTGCAGGCCTCATTACTAGTCGTGGATAGAGCAAGTCCAGCATCCTGCCAGGCCTGAAAAACCATGAACATGTGAGATCTTTTAACTCAATATACACTGATCTCTCAGATAGTATATTTGTTAAGACATAGGAACTGAAGTAACAGGTTTCCAGCAATGTCTTTCACCTACCTAAAAAAGGCTGACAGGACAACGTGAATAGCCATACACTCATTTTACTCAACTGAAATCATGACTACAGAATCCTATGAAAGGGGATAGCAAGGGAAGAATGGTAATGACAGAAGAAAAGATAAAATAAATTGTATAGTAAAGCATCCTGTGTGGTTTTGTAACTCTAGATTAGTTATCCAGACTGAGAAATACATACTATTGGGGTTAAGCAGCAAACACCACAGATCACACAAGAAAAAAGAATAGGAAAAACAGCTACATGGTAGCAAAATCTTCCACTCAGAATAGTTCCACGAATGGCCAAATTATCTGCCAATTCCCTCAAGTGAATGGAGTTAATGTCAACAAAGAATGCAGCCCAAGAACTTACTCAGAGGGCTATTTGCTAAAGACGAAATGCAACACAGAAACACTGAAAGAATTAAGCTGCACAGAATTTCACAACAGATTATATAGCATCCTCTTTGGATAAACTGTACAACAAAAATCTCATTGTGATAACTGAGATTTTAGATCTTGCACACTGATTTTATAACCAAGAAAACAGAATGAAAACCTCATTTTTTTCCTGGTTTAAATCAAGTATACGTTACATAATAGGGTAGCTGGCAAATTGGTTCATGATTGCCTTTATGAGTCTCCCTAAGAGAAACCCACTAGCAAGATGGAACCCCTCTCCCCCATCATTCTGAAAAATACCTAATTACTATAAGATGGTTTGTGTAACCTTAATTGTGATCTTTCATGCATATGCATATAGCATTTAATAGTATACTTATGTTTGTCCCAGAAGATGCATTATGACACAGATGGTATGGGAAATCTTAAAGCTGTCCTAAACTTTCAGGTGCTTGCCTTTACAATCTATACAGCGTTCTTTTGATACCATTTTTTCATACTCAACCTAAAATTATGTTGACCACTTTCATTTGTGTTCCTTTATTAAAGCCAATAAATGCTTTTAACACTAAGCACCTCAGGGCACAGACTCACATCTAACACATTTTATCCACTGAGAAATCCTATAGACACTTGCAGAGCTATACAAATAATGATAGTCAAAACTAATTTCCTTCCACTACATAGATTTTATAGAAAAATAGAAGTGAAATGACTTGGGACCCACTTAATCCATTTTCCTACTAATGGAGGATTATTCCTGGTCAAAAGCTGTTTACAGTATTTGTCCAGTCTCAGTTTACAGTTTAAACAGCATTTTGATTCTAACTCAATTGTGAAAATTTGAAGTAACTAGCAAAGACATAAATTTTAAAAGCATGCTCAAGGGTTTAATTTAAATGTCACAAACAAACAGTTGTAAGTACTTGCATGTTCAAATTACAAGTCTAAAAGGGTTATCTTGGAGTATAAATTTTCATCTTTTGTTTAGTATTTGTCATTTATACAGATACATGACAAAAGGCAGGAAAAAAGGAGGGAATAGAGGCAAGTAGGCTGTACTATCATATGTATCATAACAATAAAGCTCTGCATGCATTAACCTTGCTTTTTTAAATTCTTTCACCATTGCTAATACTGATGCAGTTCAACAGGTGGCATCAAGCACAGGAATGCTACTGTAGAGAAGGTGTCCGACAGCAGGCCACATTATAACAAACCCTAAGTCTTGTCTGCACTAATGGTCCCATCACTTCTAATGCCAGTGAAGCTGCATCAATGTGAGCCCAGGTAGAAAACTTTATCAGAGGTCCTGCTGGTATAGGCCAGTTTGCTCAACCTTTTGGCCCCACCAGCCAAATGAGTGGTGCAGAGCCAGTCCACAGGCTGGATTGGACCATGCACCCCAGGGTTGGGCTTGTATGCCCAGATCCAGACTCCACTCCCCCTATCCAGCCCTGCATGCCAGGATTGGGACCCTGGGACCCTACGCTGCTTCTGCCTAGCCTTACATGCCAGGATCAGGGCCCCAGGACCCTGTGCCACCTCTGTTCAGTCCTGTTTATGGGCTCAGGGACCCAGGAACCTATGCTGCCACTACCTGGTCTTACGTGTGAGAATCGATACCCTGGGACCCTGCACCACCTCCGCTGGACTCTGCCTGCCAGAACTGGGCCCTGGGCCCTACATACACCACCTCCACCCAGTCTCACATATGGGAATAATGGCTCCAGGACCCTGCCCTGCTTCTGCCCAGTACCATGTAGGTGGACGGGGTCCCACACCGCTTTGGGTGCTGGATGAAGCGTGCAGGGTCACAATCTGTGGGAAGCCCTGCAGGATAGATGACAGAACGCCAGGGACTAAATCTGGCCCACAGGCCGGGCCATGTAGGCTCCAGAGCTCTTGATCTCATGGTGCCCCAAGATGCCGCAGCAGCCTGGTTGAGAATCACTGACCTAGATGGGCAATTTCTACTGACACCGACTAGGAAACATGGAAAATGTTCTCTTAGTCCCATTTTAACTGATTATAAAATAACTGTTTTCCTTTGGATACATAAGCGTTGCCTTTATCTGAAAGTGGAATGACGTCTCAACTCTCCTCTCTGCTCACCCTGACTGCTGAGTACTGCAAACTCCCTGGACTGAACAAGCTACAACTTTTCAAGGCACAAGAGCAGCATGCACTCAGAAACCTGAAGGCAAAGACATGTGATCAGCATTTGTACCCAGGCCTTGAAGATGTGGACATTAGAACTGGTTAAGAGTTAAGATTTGACTGGCTCCGGGAAAACAAAAGATTGATCAGTGGGGAAGGAATGGGATATGTGCTGTTAATAAAAATATTCATGGAAAGAGCAGAGGAGTGGGGGCAATTTCAGACGGGGTTTTGCTTGGTAGGACGTAGTCCATCTGCGTGGAAAAGCACCTTGGTGTAAAACCCTGGTACCAAATAGCATGCTCATACAGCCCCCTTGAATCAGGGACTCTCAACCAGGGCAGCCGGGGGAGCGGGGGGTCATGAGATCATAGACAATGAGGGCTGGAAACAACCTCAGGAAGTCATTTAGTCCAACCCCCTGCTCAAAGCAGGACCAGCCCCAACTGGATCATCCCAGCTATGGCTTTGTCTACCTAGGTCTTAAAAACCTCTAGGATGGAGACTCCCCAACCTCTCTGGGGAACCTGTTCCAGTGCTTTACTGCCCTGCAAGTGAAAGTTTTCCCTAAGATCTAACCCAAACTTCCCTTGCTGCAATTTGAGACCATTGCTCCTTGTTCTGTCATCTGCCACCACTGAGACAGTCTAGCTCCATCCTCCTTGTAATCCCATTCAGGTAGAAGCATAGAAAATGAGGGCTGGAAGGGATGTGAGGAGGTCACATCTAGTCCAACCCCTTGCTCAGAGCAGGACCCTCCCCAACTAGATCACTCCAGCCAGGGTTCTGTCAGCCGGGTCTTAACAACCTCCAAGGCCGGAGATGCCCCTCACCCACCCCAAACACAGGTGACCCGCTCCAGTGCTTCACCAGAGACAGCTGAGGGCTGCTGTCAAAGCTCCCTCAATCTTCTTCCGTCCGGACTAAGTCAGCCCGGGTCGCTCAGGCTCTCAGCTCCAGGGACGGTGCCGCAGGGGCGAGCACTGGCCCGCGAGACACGCAGAGATTTCCGCCGGGGCGGCGACAGCCCGGGGACCAGCCCCAGGTCTGTGCACCACAGGCCGCTCCTCGCCCTTCTGGTCTGGAGGGAAGCGAACGCGAGGGCTGCCCTTGGCCCGGCGCCAGGAGCCTACAAGGGCTGCGAGCCACAGCGCGGAGCAGCGAGGGCGGGCGCGCTTCCCGGGGCAGGAGGCTCCGGGCTCCGCGCTCTCCCCACTGCCCAGCCGGGCACACTGAGCCCGAAGCGGCGGCTTCTCTCACTCGCCCGCCCGCGCCCCGCACCTGGCAGTCCCGCAGCGGCGCCATGATCCAGATCCAGCCCCAGCCCTGCCCCGCGATCGGCCCAGGAATGCTCGGCCCGCCTTTGGGCGGGGACAAGGAGGAGCAGGGACCGCCTCCGTCCCGCTCGGCCGCCCGCGGCGCGCTGCGAGGGAGGGGAAGCGGGTCGCGCCCCGGGGCTGGAGTTGGCTCCTTGTTCCCGGTTCTGGGTCAAAGCTCCGGCCCGTGTGAGGCAGGGGGGAGGCGAGGCGGGGCGGGGCCGAAGCGCCCCGGTGTCCCCGCGAAGGTCTGTGAGATCCAGGTGAACGTTTGGCCGGGACCTGAGAGCTGTAGATGTAATAAACAGCCAGAGGAAGATCCACTGGGCATGCGGCTGCGCCTCGCTTGGATTCCTGCTCCACCCAAAATGTACAGGAAACTGCTTGGCAGCGGCAGCATCACTTCGGTGCAGGCAGCAGTGAGGGTGTCGCTTGACGGTGGCTCAGCACAACCTACCTGCTGCCTTCTCAACCCTGCCTGCCTACCTGCCTTCCAGCGGCGTCACTGCCCCGCTCTCCTTTGTGAACTCTCAGGGCTCCACTAATCAAGCGGGTTATTCTTCTTTTCTGCAGTTCTGCTGCCTGCTCATACTCTTGGTAATGTAGCTCCCATTTCACAGGCCTGCAGACTGTTTTTAACTCTAGCTAAAAGCATCAACTCAGTTGTGGAAACAGAGATTCATAGATGGTAAAGGCCGGAAGATCATCGGGTCCAGCCCCCTGCACCAAGCAGGAAAGACAACTGGGGGCCAGTTATGAAACATTAACTCTATGAACGTTAACATAGACTTTCAGTTATTGGATGTGCTGTCAAGATGCTTGAGAAGGCTTGATTTTCTTTCATGATTCTGAAGTTGTACAAGTAATTCTAAGAATTATAGGACTAAATAAATATCTTTTGATTTTTTTCTTGCCCAGTTTTTTGTGTTTTTAATACGTAACATATGATAGAGCAAATTAATGTACACTCCAATAAAGTGTTTTTGCTTTGATCTTAAACTGAATAATATAGCCCCAGATCCCCAGCATATTAGTAAAGCTTCTAATTTCTTTTTACCTGGAGAAAAATGTGTATGATGATGCACTGCACCATCTGCACCCCACTTTTCAAGATCCTAAATATACCCATGGTAATAGCTATACTTTGTGAGGGACTTGCCTTAAGAATATCAGACTGAATCACCGGTTCAGAAAGCATGCCACCTAGTGGATCACTAGGGTTGTGCGAAATGGAAGTGTTTCATTTTGACAATACAGTGTTTCGTTTCAACATTTGTTTTGAGTTAAAACAGCTGTTCCGTTTTGTTCCATCAAAAGTTTTGCCGTTTCGACCCTGTTTCGACATTTCACCCATAGGCTATAATGGGGACGGTTGAAACAGGCTATAACTTTGTCATTTCTGGCCAGATTTGGATAAAACTTGCAGAAATGGTAGCCCCTTCTGAGGGCATGATGCGTGCGAAGTTTCAAGAAGATAGGTGCAGGGGGTTCAGAGAAACTGCACCCCAAAATCATGAAAGCGAAACTCATGTCACGTGTACGTGCTAAGCCACAGCAGGGTCAAAACTGCAGGAATGGTAGCCCCTGCTGAGGCCACAAAGCCTGCCAAGTTTCAAAAAGATCAGTGCAGGGGGTTGGGGGGAACTGCACCTCAAGCTGCTGACAGGCAAAACTTGTGACATAGATGACCGTGTGTGTTAAGGAGCAGCGGGTTGAAAACTGCAGGGGTGGTGGCCCCTACTGAGGCCAAGGAGCCTGCCATGTTTCAAGGAGATAAATGGAGGGGTTTGAGGAAACTGCACCTCAAGCTGCAGACAAGCAAAACTCGTGACATGGGTGCTTGTGCAACTGTGTCTGTTTTGAGGCATGGGGGGACGGAGGGATATGGACTACTGCAGGCCTGGCTGCTAAGCTACTGTGTTACCAGTTACCAATCGATCATGATTCACTCAGGGACCAGCTCAATACACAGTACCTAGCTACTACATAACGAGTTAGCGAGCATAAATTAACACCTACAAAAGGACAGACTAAGGAGAGGAAATAATCAATACAGGCAATCAATTTCTCCAAGACAGAGACAGTCAGTTGCACAAGCACCCATGTCATGAGTTTTGTCTGTCAGCAGCTAGGGGTGCAGGGCCCCAGAACCTCCCTGCTCCTCTCTCTTCGACAGCTGGCAGGCTTTGTGGCTGCAGCAGGGCCTAGCAGCCAGGCCTGCAGTAGTTTCTCCTCCCCTGTGCCCCAAGACAGACACAGTTGCACAAGCACATATGAGACAAGTTTTGCCTGTCAGCAGCCAGAGGTGCAGGGCCCCAGAACCCAGAAGCCCCTGCACCCATCTCCTTGGCAGCTGGCAGGCTTCATGGCCTCAGCAGGGGCTAGCAGGCCTTCAGCTTTCACCCCGCTGCGCCTTAACACACAGTGTCACCCATGTCACGAGTTTTGTTTGTCTAAAGCTTGAGGTTAAATTTCCCCCAAACTCCTATACTTATCTCTTTGAAACTTGGCAGGCTTCATGGCCTTAGCAGGGGCTAGCATGCCTGCAGTTTTCACCCTGCTGTACCTTAACACATACACGACACAGGTTTGGCTCTCAAGACTTTGGGGTGCAGTTTATCTGAACTCCCTTTAGCTATCTTCTTGAAACCTGCCACACTTTATGCTCTCAGACAGGGCTACCATTTCTGCAAGATTTATCCAAATCTGGCCAGAAATGATAAAGTTATAGGCTGTTTCAACCTTCCTCATAATAGCCTATGGGCGAAACTTCAAAACAGTGTCAAAACGCCGAAATGTTTCGACCTCGTTTTGTTTCAAGGCTGTTTTGACCATATCTGTTTTGTTTTGATTTTGCTGTTCCAAGCTTGAAACAGCCTTGAAACAAAACTGATGGTGAAATTTCGCACAGCCCTATGGATCACTAGTAGTACTACTTTCAGCCTCCTTGGTGTTTCTTTGAGGTCTTCCACTTAGGTAGGCGCTAGGATCAATTTTATTGCTATGGATCCATCCATTACCCTACAGTCCCCCTGGGTATTTTTGTTTCTGTGTTACATAGTTTCATAGTTGGTAGGGTCGGAAGGGACCTAAGCAGATCATCTAGTCTGACCCCCTTCTCTGGCAAAAGTTCCCCTTCTCTGGAATATGATGTCACTACAGCTTTCAATAATTGAAAAGTATTTTTGTGGGGGTAAAAATACAGGAAGCTGCTTCATATGCATGTAAGATAATATGGCACTGTGGTTTCACTCACTGTTGTTCTGATTTCCTATCAGCACTATCCTCTTCCCCCATTATCAACTCTAGACATACAGTCAACTGTCAATCCACTGGATCATGTTGTACACATAAGAGGTCTAATCAGGTGCCTGATGAATCCACTTGTGGCTGACAAGCCCTATTTGAGAGTGACACAGCTTGTTACAAGTTTAGCAAATCTAAGTTGGGGTCCAAGTTTACAACATGTTTCTTTCTTGCTTTGCTTCCTTCCTCTGGATCAAAGCTGCTTCATGTTGACCTGCACCCAGTGTTAGATGTTCCCTCCCTCCTTCTCCCAGCTTTCTACACTGACGTTGAATGGCTTCATATAATTTTTGCATATCATGGTACTATCACAGAGGGTGACCCTGTTTCCAGAACCATCTCAAATCTCACTGTACAAAATAGTCTTAGGGATATGGTCTCTTCCCATTCTCCTAACATGGCTGAGCCAGTGCAACCTCCTCCTCTGCATAGTGGTGTCTAACTGAGTCAGTTCTGCATGCTCCAGCACCTCTGTATTTGGCATTCTGTCTTCCCACTTTATTTTTAAGATCTTGTGCAGGTATTTCATGTGGAAGCTGTTCAGTCTCCTGATGTACCTTGCATATGTAGTCCATGTTTCAGAATCATTAAGCAGGGATGACAGCATGCAAGTCTTGTAAATTTGCATCTTCACCTTAGTTGATAATTTGCTGTTACTCCATGCCTGTTTCTGTAATATCCTAAAATTCTTAGCTGCTTTTCTGATTCTGTTAGTTCAGTCTGAAGGTCAAGATTCCTGCTAATCATAGAAGCCATGCAGCAAAAGCTGTCAATGACACCAAGAGATTTACCCTCCAGAGCAAGGGTGGGCAATTATTTTGGCTAGAGAGCCACCTACTGAGTTTTGGAGAGTTGTCAAGGGTTTTGGAGAGTTGTCACATACACTTTTCAAAGGTGTTATGGCTAAGTGGCAACCACAGGCCTGAAGCCTGTCTTTGAGTGACATACCACAATGTGAGCATTTGCAAATGCTGTGGCTGGCTTGATTTGCAGAACAGAGAAAACTCCATCTGTCTAATTGGACAGAATCAGTAAGAACAAGGCAGCCTTGTCAGCCAGAGCTAGAACAGCATTTTACCATGGGCAGAAAAGAGATAAGAAGCCCTTCCTATTGCCCTGTTACTTTCTCAAAGATATGTTTTAACTAATTGGCACATTGGCCTTTAAAAAAATCTAGTTTAATCTGATTCTTAAAGTTTCAATGAAACAAAGAAATTTAAATAAAACCAATCAGAGATAATTTATTAGAATATTAAGATTATGTTTACCAGCCATTAGGGCTGCGTGAAGCTTCAGTAGCCAATTCGATTCAGAGGATTTTTGGCCCGATTTGGCAGCCAAATCTCCAAATTTGAATTGAATCGGGAGACCCAGTAAAAGGTCTGAATCAATTTGGAAGCCTCCAAATTGATTTGAAGAGATTCGGAGATTCAGAAGGCTTGCAGGAAACAGAAACTGAGAAGGTGTGGGGAGGGAGGGGGTGATCTTTCATATGTGGAAAAAGCCAAGAGCAGGGAAAGACTGTTCTGATACTGACATCTGTAGCTGGCCAGTGACTGTGATCTTTCTCCGAGTTCCCTTCCAATCACAGTGCTCTGTGGGAGGGACATGGAAACAACATATCAAGCTGTGTCTGACGTGATCTGTGCCTTTTGAGAGCTGCATCTCTCTTGGAG